ATTCGTTGAAACAGAATAGCTAGCGGTTCGGATATGTGATTTGTCAAAAATATCAGAGATTTCGAGTGTATGTTGTCCGCAGCTGGGGTTGCATTTTTCGCAAAGCCATTAGTTTTGCTTTGACGTTTTCAGCTGTAAATGATACGTCATCATGCATATTCTATTCCCTGTATTATTTACATGATGAGATGCGGCGAAATATATCCGGAAGGAAATGGTGCAATGTAAACTTTCTAACTTCTCTATTTATAGTCTCCATCAGCAGTCAATGAAATAATAAAACTTTTTAAACTCCATGATCGTCTTTTGCGAGCGACTGAAAACAAACCTGAATGAAAAATGAATATTGTTTACGAATAAATTTAGTTCGTTACTTTGTAGCGGTCTTTAGCAGTAGATGGTGTGTTATGCACCTCATTTCATTTTCCTCCATTACCACATCGCAATTTCTCTTTACGTTTGATCAGCCGAAGTGCAAAACTGTTCTTTTCGAGGTATCAACCGAAACGGAACTATACTGATCAAATACTGATCGCACTAGTCATATACTGTCAGTTTTACACATTTCAGATTTTTCAATTCCACAGATTACTATATTCCATTTCCGATAACCAAAATTTGCCATATAATCCATAACATATGGTGTATTTCGCATGTGCCAATAAAAAATAAAATGAAAAATGAAGTTTAAAATGTGAAATGCAGCAACTTAATCACGGTTGATTTTCCTAATTCCACATATTCCTGAATCACATTTGAAATGCGGCCCGTTCCACATGAAAACTTGCAATTCGCAACACATTATTAAATCTTTGTAGATCTACATAGTTGTTTAGAAAATGCATTAATTTTTCATGTGTTGAGATTAAAATGACCCAAGGCGCAACTGGAGGAAAAACCATCTAATTATATCAAATTTTAACTTGTGCAATGAAATGAATAATCGAAACACATTGGGGACTTTCGAAATATCTCCTCAAATTAAAAGTTGGCATGGAGCTCACAGCTTACGACAGTCAACAGTAGTAGTGTGGATTGTTTACTCTCTTCCAGTGAGGCATCCAGTGGCTTGCACTGATTTCGTTAACACTGGAATTATTATGCCCACTATCGCGCACAGTACTGACCCACAATTAAGTGTTGGCTCTGGCTATCCGTATTTTCAGACAGTGAAACGCTTTTAAAAATCAACAAATAAATGTGCTAACTAGAACGAGTTATATATTCTTTCCATTTTCAACTCATAAAACCGTTCTAGGGAATATTACTGAACACGAATCACATAAACGCAACACGCTGTGTACAGTAGTTCAAAACGTTTTATTGATAAGTATCCTATCTGAGGGACAGAGAGCTTACCTGTCTTCGTTGAGTTGATTCTCCCAATCGGATATTAGCAAGTCGAGATTGCCATTCAGATATTTTTCGCTCCAGAGCACCCACACGCGAAACACCACCAGCATTATTGCTCATTTGTTTTCCTCCAACAGTTTGTAATTCACTTAGTACAGATCGAATTTCTTCATTCATTCTAAGACGTTCTTTCATGCTGTCGAGCTGCGCTTCACAAGCGATCTTTGCGTCCAACGCTTCTTGTAACTGCGCCTGTAATACTGCTCGCTCTTGCGTTAACGAATTCAAACGTTGGATTGCTCTTTCTTGTTCCAACAGTGGTACACAACCAGCAAATCGTAAACGTAAACGCTGGTACCATGAGATCACGAAATACAAAAGATAAGAAAGCGGGTTATTTTTGAGCTTTATTGCGAAACTTAAATGAAAGAACACAATCCCAGCGAAAATGAAAGGTAATTTATTCATTATTGGTCAATAATGGTTTGGTTTTTCATTATGGTCCTAAGTAAGTTGGTCATTATGCTTGGAAAAATGTCAGGTTTCACTTGGTGCACTGACTGTACTCCCACCAAAAATTAAGACGAAGCTGAAGAGTGGTATGATCCATGGGTGGAAACCACACTTTGACTTTGAGTTTGACAACACATCGGTCATTATAAATCCCCAGTGCTTCTCAGTACTAATAATCACAGGGGGAAATAAAAGCTTTGATTCGTGTTTGGATTAATCCATTCCATTGTTCACAGGCACCAAACTGTCAACACTACCTTGCGTCTATGAACAATCGAATGGGTTATTGCAGTGCATGATAGACTAAATCGAGTCAGCCATTCACACAAGATAGTGTTTGTCCACCGTATAGCTCATAGGTAAAGACTTCAGGTCCAAACCCGAAAGTTCGAGATTCGAGTACTGACAGGGCCCAGAACTGCGCACTGCTGAGGAGCCCAAACGAGGCGAAGCAACTGTTTGGTACTCATTTTCGGTCATCATAAATATTTCCATCGAGTTCAAAAGCTCTGATTTGCCCACCACTAAGGAAAGGTCATCAAAGGGATCAAGGAGAGCTATTAACTCGCCTGAAACTTGGTTTTAACCATGGCACTAGAGCGCTGATGTGTCTTGTTATTGAGAGAATGCGAACAAGTCTGGCTTTGTGTTTTTCCTATGCAAGTGAACTAAAAAATCGGCATTGGGATACTGCTGATATTAGTATGTTCCAGTAGTGAAACTTAAATGGGTAATAAGCGATTTATCATCTACCATCATATTTTCCATTAGAAAATTTTGCAACTATTTACATTAGCTATTTGTAGTTATTTCTTCCCCATAAAAATTCATTTGCAGTGCAGAGGCACTGAACTTGTGATCGCAGTAACCTGGATTTTTCGGGATATGAATTCCACCCGGGATTGTTAAACCACTTGGACTGGATTCAACGATTTTTTCTTCAACACTACATGAACCAGCACCTACTCATTTATCACGCAACAAGTGAGGCATAGCCTAATGTTTCCTGAAACCTAGATTAATCAACCATCTTCTTTTTCTTTCATAGTTCCCCCCTATGTGGTTCCATGGCCAACTTTGGTACTTTATTAAAGTGATTCTTATCTCGGTTCTAAAAACAGACTCTACGGTGATCGCAATCTCAGAGTTTGAAGAATTCAACGTGCCTTACATTGACTGTATCGCGGAAACGTCGCTCGCGCTGACGTAGATAATTCCGTTGTCCCAATCGTTCATCCTCCACGTTGGATAAACGCTGTTCTAATTTGAGCACGGTGTTCTCGAGTCGCGAAGCCCTCCCTTGTGCCGTGGCCAGTCGTCGAATTGCAGTAGCCTCGGAAATCTGTGTAGTATAATTGTATACAAGAAACAAAAAACAATAAATTAAATGATGATTCATGAGGTCAACTTATCAGCAGTGAATAAGTTTGATGAACAGCATTGACACTCTTCATGCGCTGACAGCAAGTGATAATTCCTTTATGATTTTGTTGCACCTATCTCAGCACTACTCTGCCTATAACGAGTTTCTTCAGCACGCGCCACAGGCGAAGTTAAATTCTCTACTACTCTATTCTGGAAAATTATTCAAAAACGAATTATCCCCGGTAAAGCTGCGGTAGCCGAAGTCTACTTCGAAGAAGGATTACATTGGTTACTGGCAAAATGTTTTTATATGTACAATATGTCAAACCTATTGCACGGTAACCAGGTGAGTATTTCGCTTGCGTTCAGATAGTTGTGATCCTTAGTTGAGCCAATGAATCTGCACAACAAGATTGTTAGAACTGCATAGGAAATTTTAGATGTTTTAAACACGCTTTCTACGCTCTGGGGTTTAGTAGGCTGTCTGAGAGAAGACAGAGAATTATCATTCATATGAATCCCAACAAATTTGATGATTATAGTTCATGAATGCAAAAGTTAACAACAATCCATGTTATCTGGCCTGATGTATGATGAGTGTCTTGTGACAGAACAAGTGCTCAATGCTGAGGATTTTATTTTTGGTATATATTATGAGATCAACTTATTCATAGAAAACTAAGAAAAAAATGTTAACTACACGTGTTTCTACTTGGGTATATTTTATCAGTAGTTCGGATTCATCGACCCAAATTAAGGCTCAACCGACCACTTCACAAATAGAACGCATGCATCGGACCGATTGACCAATGGGCACCTGATCGAGATGTTTCATTTTGTGTGAACAACACAGCACTAGTATATTGAAAGTTTATTACGATCAGCAAGCCTCATTCACCTTTGCAAAAGTTTCGTGTCAATAAGACCCAAGTAAGGAAAAACAGCTTGAAATGGAATCCCAGCATCTCAGTTCACGTTGGCTTAGCGACAAAATTTATCAATAAACATCTCTTGGAAACCATCGTCAATTTACATTTTAGCTCTCAACTACTTGTGAGTAACCGTGCGTAATAAGTGGCAACAAATATAAACGCTTTTCGACATTCTTTATATCAAATCCTCGGTTGGGTCATTCACTCAGGATATACTGAACTCGTATTCTGTTTGCGTAAGAAATCAGGAGTGGTGCACGTTCACAGATCCACCTGCGTTCTGAGACCCTGGACCCTCACATGGATGGCATACGTTACTATGGTGCCAGGCAGCTCACACCTACGTTGACCAGAATTGGCCATCCAACTTTGTTCAGATACCGAATTCAGGAGAACTTAATCAGTTTATAGGCCAAAAAGAGAAGCACAAGGTAGGTTGTACGGACAGATCAATATATGTGAAATGCAGAATTATGGGTGGAATATTTTTCAATGCTCTGCTGATCAGACGATCACACTATAAGCTTGTTTAGGCATCCAATGTGATGTGTGTATTGTAGCTTGTTTCAAAACCGATATCAATCATGAATAGTACCAAAATAACAATCCCTTCTTCACATTAATTAATAATTGTAGGATTGAGAGAGCCACACATATAGTCAGAAGAAAATTGCTTTCCTGTATTCAGAGAAAAGACAAACGTTATTCAGTTAGAAAATACTTAACTGGGTGACGCCTCTAATGCGCTCATAAATCAGCAATCGTATGCAATGAAAAATAATTCATTAGGAAAAGAGGTAGAATGTGAAAAATGGCAGTGGCATCATAAACCACAAAC